CACACACACACACACACACACACACACACACACACACACACACACACACACACATCCTTGTATTTGCATCAAACTGAGGACATTGTATTTACTTCTTTCATTTTTGTAACTGTATTTATGCCCAACCCAGACATTTTCCCTAAAATTAACCATTACTGGTCTATAGTTAACACTAATCTGAACCAGAACTTAATTCTCAATTCTAGTTCATTAATTTCTTGAGATTTTCTTCCTGTTAAAATAAATCTGAAAACTGGTTTTGTTTCAAAAATTTAAAATATATGTTTCTTAACGACTTTAACGTTAAAAGTCTGATTCTGTTGTTTCAGGAACTTCATGAGACTGAGAAGCTCAGGAGCTTCATGTTTCTATTCATGCATCCTGTGTGTGTTTGTGTGTGTTTGTTGGCATGTTTTTGCTACATTGTGGGAACTATTTTCTAGAAAAAGGCAGCTTTGTGGGGACTGATTGTGCATCGTGAGGACCATTGTGGTGGTTAAGTTTTAAGACCAAGGTGTGAATTGAGTTTAGGTTAGTTTTAGGGAAAATGGTCAAGGTTAGGATATAAAATTAACAGAAAATGAATGGAAGTCAGTCCACGGTCCCCACGGGTATATAAAAACAAATGTGTGTGTGTGTGTGTACATGTAGTGGTATAGATTAACCTCTTGTGGTGTCTGGTTTCTGTCCTCCAGGTTCGGTTCTGAGAGACTTCTGGTCACCCGATCCACCTCCCAGATCGGCAGCATCAGGAGGCGGAGCCAGGAGGACATGCGGAGGTGGGAGGAGCCTCCCGTTGAGCGAGACGGACAGAGTGACACCTGCCTGGACCACAGGTGAGCGGGCGGTTCTGAGGAAAACCATCTCTGCTGATGATGAGCTGCTGCGGCCCACCAGCAGAGAGCTGAAGCTCCTGAACCATCCGGAGAGAAACCGAAAGAAGCTGCGCAGCGTTTACGTGAGTTTATATTCTCACTTTGATACTTTTATTCTGAAAATATCACTCTGATAACTATTATTCTGAAAGAATCACTCTAACTTTAGCTCAGGGTTTTCTCTTCAAAGAGCGGGGGAAGGTTCTTTTTAACTCATCGTATCTCCACTATAAAACCCAGTAGAACCATCAAACAGAACCTGCGGTACCATCAGAACCTCCTGCTGCTCACATTGATCCGTTTGTCTGAGGCTTAGTTTTTACTCTGTGTTTCTATCTGCTGGGCTGCCCCTCCTCACCATGGTCCCCCCACATATCCTTCATGTCGTTTCTTTGACGTTCAGGAGGAATCAGTCCTGAACTCGGTCGACAAGAAACAGGAAGAGGTTTAACCTAGACTTTCAAAATAAGAGTTTGGCATCAAACTTGGTTTGGATTTTTCAGTGGGCTTTTATTCTGAAAGTTCTGTAGGAAGTCTGTTGTTGCGGATGCGTGTTGATCTGCAGCTAGCTCCAGGGTTTTATTCTGTGAAGTTAAACTGTCTATGTTTGTGTTGTTGTTGTGTTGTTTGTGTGTACCTGCTGGATGAGTGTGAATCTCCTTCTTCACCCTCATTGTTAAAATCAGAGCTTAAACTTGTTGAACCTCCAGTTACACACTCATCTTGTTCTGACTTTCTCCCTCACCCACACACACGTTGGTTTTTCTATCCTCATAGGGACTTTGCAATGACTTCTATTCATTGTCCAGTCATTTCTGTAGCCTGACTCCTGACCCTAAACCTACCTTGGCCCTAAACCTGACCCCTCACCCAAAATCACCTGTACCTGTGGGGACCAGGCTTCTGTCCTTGTTTGGTAAACGTTCCCCGTGATGTAGAAATTATGTGTCCACATTCACACATTAACACACACACACACACACACACACACACACACACACACACACACACACACACAC